AGAACACTGAATTTGCAGCAGTAAATAAGTCAGAGTTCTTGGCCTTAACAGCATTTTAGTAAGAAAGGCAATAAATGATCAGGCTGATACACTTTAAAAAAAATATCACTATAGATTATTATATGTGCAATTAAGGAAATAAAATTGGGTGCCATAGTAGAGAATAAAGCAGTGGAGGTGGACTATGTAGACAGGGTGATGAAGGAAGAGTTCCTTGATGAGATTACACATAAATTGGAAGAAGTTTCAAAAATCCTTCTCCATCTAGAGATCATATATTTACTTGTGTATTGAGCAACTTTTAGTCTATTTTCTTATTTCAAATTATTTTTCTAGTTTTTTTTAAAAAATTAGTGTCTTGTGGCTATCCATGAAGGTGAGATTCAAAGTGGTATGTGTGTGTGTGTGTGTATATATATATATATATGAAAGTTAGGTCAGATTCACTCCACTGTTCTTCCCTTATCCCATCTCTTCTCCCTCCCCATCAATCCTCTCTCTTTACTCCATTGATCTTTCTTCTATTCCATCAATGGAATCTCCCTTTTCTTTTCATTTTTATTTTTTCCCTTATGTTGGACGGCTTTTGCCTATCAGAGAAAACATGTACCCTTTGACTTACTAGGCCTGACTTATTTCACTTAGCACAATAGTCTCCAGTTCCATCTGTTTATCATCAAATACCATATTTCATTCTTCTTTATGACTGAGTACTACTCTATTGTGTATATATATCACATTTCCTTATCCATTCATTCTTTAAGGGCACCTAGGTTGGTTCCATAGTTTGGTTATTGTGAACTGTGCTGCTGTAAACACTGATGTAGCTGCATCCCTACAGTATGCTGATTTTAGGTCTTTTGGAAATATACTGAAGATGGGATAGTTGGGTCATACGGTAGTTCTAGTTTTATTTTTTTGAGGAATCTCCATACTACTTTCCAGAGTGGTTGCAATAACTTACAGTCCCATGAACAATATAGTGTACCTTTTCCCCATATCCTCACCAACACTTCATATTATTTGTAGTCTTGACAACTGCCATTCTGATTGGAGTGAGATGAAATCTCAGAGGAGGAAATTAAAGAGATACACATAAGAAAAAAAGAGATCAAATTATCTCTGCTGATGACATGATCTTATATTTAAAAGATCAAAAAATGCCACCAGAAGACCTCTAGAGATGATAAACAAATTTTGTAAAGTAACAAGATACAAGACCAACATACATAAATCAATTGCATTCCTATATTCCAATAATGAATCTGCTGAAAAAATAATATCCCATACACAATAACCTAAAATAAACCCCTAGGGAATTAATCTAATAAAGGAGATGAAGGACCTCTACAATGAAAACTGAATACTGAAGAAGACTTTAGAAGATGGAAAAATTTTACATGTTAGGTAGGCAGAATCCATAATTGTCAAAAGTGTCATATTACCAAACATGTATACTGATTCCATGTAATCCTAGTCAAAATACTAATGAAAACTTTCACAGAACTAGAAAAATCAGTTATAAAATTTCATTTGGAAAAATAAGAGATCCAGAATAACCAAAGCAATCCTGAGGAAAAAGAGCTTTGCTGGAGTCACCACAATACCAGACCTCAAATTATACTACAGAGCTAAAGTAACAAAAGCAGCATGGTACCAGCATCAAAACAGCCATGAAGACCAATGGAATAGAATACAAGTCCCAGAGACAAACCCACATAAATACAGTTATCTGATACTAGACAAAGTTACCAAAAATGTACACTGGGGAATAGATATCCTTTTAAACAAATGGTACTGAAAAAACTGGAAATCCATATGTAGAATAATGAAAAACTTGACCCCTATCTCTCACCCTGTACAAAAGTCAACTCAAAGTGGATCAAAGACCTAGCACTTAGACCAGAAACTCTGCAACTGCTAGAAGACAATGTAGGCCCAATACTTCAATATATTGTCATAGGAACTGACTTCCTTAACAATACTTTAAATTCTTTGGTCTGGAACTTATTCTGGTATACAGTATGAAGTTAAATTAAAAATATTTTTATATACAGAATGGAACCAAATTAATATTTTTTTCTAGACCCTTAATTGACTACTCTCAGTAATCACAAAATAATTCTTGTTTTCCCCAGAAAGCCTTACTGCTTTCTCTATCAGATATTAACAATTTATGAAGGAAGAGGAAGGGAAGAGTGAGGGAAGCTAGAAATAGGTACCAAAAAATACAAGTTACATAGGAGGAATAAGTTCTAAGGTTCTGAAGAACAGGCAGGTGACTATAGTTCACAATAATCTCTCATTATGTATCATTTATATTGAACCAGAGAGAGGAGTTCAAAGTTTCCCAATACAAAGAAATGATAAATATTTAAGGAGATGGAAATGCTAACTTCTATGATAAGATCATTATATATATATATTACATATATATATATATAAAATAACCAGACTGTGCCCCATAAATATATGTAATTATTATATGCAAATAAAATTATAAATAAAATAAAAATTTTATATGATCTTTAGTGTATTTCTTCTTTGTTTCATTGATCTAATTCTTGATCCAGCATTACACTAACTTAATTGCTGATAATTTGTAATATTTTAAAATATTTAATGTAGTTAATCTTGATTTTCATCTTAGTCACTCAATTTTTAAAGCTATTCTCACTTATATATTCTTTTGTAAGACATTTTTTTTAATTGTTTCTACAATTTAACTTAGGAAGAAATGACATATTTATAATATTTGGTCTTCCTATCCCAATATGCCTGCTTTCCTTTTCTTGAAGGCATTTATGATTGCCAGGTGATTCTAAAAACAGCCAATCCTGATGTCAAAGCAGTTTCTTTGAGGAAGAGAAAATAAACAGACACTTCATCAGCTCATTATAAACCAAGCTGTAAAACAAATTATAACTCTCTTTGTACCTAGGTGAGAAAAAGTGATAACAAAAATGGACCTTCCCCTAGAACAAATATACCAAATATCCGTTTTGAAATTAACGCTACCATGGTGCTACCATGATATTTCCTACACTTATTCTAGACTTTCTTTGGGAAAGGATATAGGAACAGAAAACAATGAACTCTGCTCTTATTCCAGGTTATATCTTTCTTCTAAGGAAAATTCTCAGAAACAACAATGACTACCATTTAATGAATATAGATAGATAGATAGATAGATTATAGATATATATAATATATCCTATCATTAACCTTCAAAATTATCCTGCAAGATAGGTAGCAATTTTTACCTTATAGAAAATGAATTAAAAGCTCAGAGAGAAGCTCACAGCTCCCCATCTAGGTGACACAAGAGAATCCATTCAGAGATGGCTCTATCCAACTCAAGCTGCCTCCCAAAATCTTTATCAATATTACGTACGGTTAAGATGATCTCTTAGTATCCACCAAACCTGTGGCCACTGCTAGTTTTTTCTATCATTTGAAAAGATATATTTTTTTCAATAAGCCCTACAATCTTCCAAAGTTTTCTGCACTCTCCATATTTCAACTAGAAACAGATAAATAAGTAATAGGAATACTGCTACAAGGTGACCAGAGAAAGATGGGTATGGGCCTCTGCATCCTCCAGAGGAATAGATTGGCTTCAACTCCTTCAGTATACCCCTCATCTACCCTACCTTCTATTTCACCACGCCAGTGGCCTGGTAGGGTTCTATAAAACACAGAGACACAATTTTAACAATGTTGACCACCTGAGAACTTTTAGTTTTTGTTGGTTGGTTTGATGTTTTGGGTAGAGAAACAGAATTGATTCTCCGGGCTTAGTTCTAGAATTTGGGGCTCCATTATTGAATCCTTAGGTTAGGAAATATTTCCAAATGCCATTTGCCAATCCATTAATTCATGCCTGAAATATTTTTAACCATACCTAATACTCTACAGCCTTGTTTCTAGAGTCTTCAAACATTCACCAGAAGGCACTGATGTACATTTTCTGTCTGTTCCTAACTGGAGTATGTCTAAATCTTACTTTTCTGGCCTTTTGTAACAATGAGGAATAGCCCCCTTCTTATGATAATTTTTCAAATACAGAAAAAGTGCTTTTCAGTCCCCACTTTGAGTTACAGTCCAAAAGCAGCTCAGTTGCCAGTTTCAAGATGTTAGACAAAAATCTTGTATTATAATGCATACTTTACTAAGAAAAATGGGATTAATTTCAATTTTAAAGGTATTTCTATTAATCTCGTAAATTATAGAAAAACCTGGAATAAATTCCATCTCTTAACTACTGGTAAATTCTCTAAGAACAACAATTAATGTGAAGACTCCTCCCCTCTTTTTTTTTTTTTTTTTAGAGAGAGAGAGAGAGAGAGAGAGAGAGAGAGAGAGAGGATTTTTTAATATTTATTTTTTTTTTTTGATACCAGGGATTGAACCAGGGCACTTAACCACTAAACCACATCCCTAGCCCCTCCCCCCTTTTTTTAAATTTAGAGACAGGGTCTTGCTGAGTTGCTTAGGGTCCGATAAATTGATGAGAATGGCTTTGAACTCATGATCCTCCTGCCTCTGCCTCCACAGCCTCTGGGATTACAGGTCTGTACCACCACGTCCAGTTCAACAACTATTAATGTTTACTTAAAATTTTCCATGAAGGGGGTTGTGGTTGTGGATTGGTGGTACAGTGCTTGCCTAGCATGTGTGAGGCACTGGGTTCAATTCTCAGCACCACATCTAAATAAATAAATAAATAAAAATTTTTCTCCAGGAATATTTAAGTCAAATGTCTGATTTTGGCAAAGATAAATTTTTTAAATAAGCATAAATATAAAATAGATACTTCAAAGGAGTATAATATGCTATTATGTATGTGTATGTGTGTGTGTGTGCTAGAAAATGGCACAGAATTTCAAGATGCCCTCTTATTATCATGGCTACAAAATGATGGAAAGCTACATTGTGAATGCATGTCTTAAACAGCTGCATCTAATCTCACTGCTGCTGAGATTCCTGACTCCTCCCTTCCAGCTCCTCAGTGGCTTCAGCGCCACTGGATTCCAGAGCTGGGTCCTCGGTGCAATGATTCCAACTCTAGGGAGCAGCTTCTGAAATGAAGGTATACATTGTTTAGTGGATTCATAAGCTAAGAAGGGATGTTGGGACTTGGAGAGATGGCTAATATGTCTTCCTTTGACAGAGAAATAAACTCAAAATAGTAATAATGGGAATGAAGAAAGAAAACATGTAGAAGATGAAAAGAATAGCAATAGAACTGAAAATTTCCAACAGGTAAGAAATTGGGAAACCTACCTCAAAAATGCTGAAAAAAAAAATCTTGCAGATGTGTTTTTCAGATAGGTATTTCATGTTTAAATATTCCAGTTTTTAAATGTGTGAAAATCATTAAACATTGAAATTGCAATGCTTTTAGGCTTAATTGTAGCAATTGTATTTTTTTCTTTTTTTAAATGTGATCTGAAAAACAGCTCTACAGCTTTCAAATGCACCAATGTAGAAAAACTGTCAAAAGGAATCACCAAAAGCTAGTTCTGGCACAATGTGATTTTGATTACTGTTGTTTATCAGTTAGTAAATAAACACCTGGTAGACTTATTTTCATTGACAGAGTTAAGCTCTCCTTTTTTGATGTATTTGATGTAATTTTATTTTAAGAACTAAAAACCTCAACATCCCTAAAATGGAAAGCTGAGTCATTAATCTTCAAAGAAAATTAAAGCCAATTCAGACACAATCTGTGTTGGCTTGATTTTAAGACTAGCTTTGGGAACCAAAATGTGTATATTTTCCATAGACACTTTATATCGGCTCAGGCAACTGTCAAATTCTAGAAAAAACACATAACCTATTTCCAGCAGAGAAAATCCAACTATGTGTAATAAAAGAATGCATGGGTCAAATGTAATCCTCACACTTTTAAAGATAGCACACATTTCTACAATAGACACAAACTGGTTTTTTTTTGAATGAGTAAATAATTGAATAGGATAATGAGTTTGTGTAATGTTGAATAACCAGACCAATTATACTTTTTAATAAGGCTGTGAGAAAGGAGGGATTTGTTTCTAGGTGCTTATTGTGGATACTTAATGTAATGCTGTGTTCTGAGCATAAGCTCTAAGATGTGTCTTTACAGAGATTCCAGTTCTTTTTTTGTTTCCACGGTACAGAAAAGATTAGTTGGGCTGATTTTTTTTCTTTTTTTTTTTTACAAAATGAATGGCCAAATAAACTAGAAATATTGGTTTGTATATTATTTTAAAAATAGAAGTCTTATTTCTGGCTTAGCTACTAAGTATGCAAACATGAGCAAGTCTTACTTCGATGTTTGTAAATTAGTATTAAATATTATTACTATCTGAAGTTCAAGACTGCCATAGAGCCCAAGAAAACCCACCTGGTCAGCACCGGTATTCTAGATGAATTAAGTAAGGGATGGGCCAGTAATTTGAAAATCACTGAGCCCTAGACAAGGGTGAGAGATTATCTACATCAGCATGATCAAAGAATCTGTAATCCTAGAAATTTAAGGAAAGGGAAAGAGAATTCAGGGAGGGGGAGTTTGCATTGTGTTTCTGATTTTGAGCCTCTCACATGCATACTTGGGGAGTAAGGCATGTACAAAATTTCATTTTGTCTAAAGTTAAAGAAAAAAAAATAGAAAATGTTGTTTGAGTAATTTAAAAATTAAAAATAGGAAATACTGAACTTTATTCAAGAAATATAAAACAGGAGGCAGCAGAAAATAGTGGAAAGAACATGTAACTCTGAGAGCTGCGGCATCTGTAAAAAGAGATATATGAAAAACCTTCAGAGTCTTTTCCAGATCAACATGTAGTTGCAAATAATCTGAAATATACTTTATTATTTTTTTTGGTGTTATAGATAATTAAAGGAAAGGGGGAAAACAGGGTAGAGATGACAGATAAACAGAAAGAGGGGAAGACAATGAATGGTCAGGAGAAAACATTGAAAAAGTCCAAAGGGCAAATCCACAGAAAGTCTACCCCTACCTGCTATCCAAAAGAGAATTATATGGCTAAAAAGAAGAAAGATAGATGCTAACAAAAAGACATTCATATACAGAAATAAACATGTCCAGAGAGATTTTAGTGGACATTATGCTCTTATTTAATTCATCATGAAACTTGCAAACACAAAATTATAAAAAATTAATGCAATGTTGTTGTAGTATTTCATTAGGAGACAAAAATAGAACCAGTTCCAGGTAGGTGCAATAAATTACTGGCATTTTTCAAGCAAAAAATGTTGTTTGTTAATTTGAGATCTCAATCTCTGGGCCACTTTCAATCAAGCTAGCCAGAGATGAACTTTCCTAAAATAGAAATGTATCCCAAGAATTTTTTTAGGAATCAGGGGTTAACATTACTTTGCTTTCAGATAGGCTAGATTTAAATATTTTAACTTCATAGATACCAATTATGTAAAGTGTAATCCATGTTGCAATTTAACGTCCATATTTGGGGATTTTCCTATTAATCTTCTCTGAATTGTGCAGAGGGCAACTGGATAATGTAACTCTTGCACTCCTCTTTGAGTCCCTCCCAGATGAAGCCCATCTAATCTTCTTCTGGCCTTTCTGAGCTCCAAGCCTCTATAGGAATTTATAGACTGGGAGCAAATGTTTACTTTGCTCCTAGTCAGCATACAGGAAAGAAGGGTCTCCATGAAGTTTCAGACTTGCTATTGCAGGACGGTGAGTGATTCCCCATGCGCTAGGAAGACATCCCAAATCAACAAGAATGGGCAATACAAGGGTTACCAACTTTATTCCCATCTCTTACCAATCAACCAAAAACTCTGCAAAATTATGTGAATTTTTACATCTGTAAAGAGAAAACTGTGATTCAGACCTATCGTTGCAGAATTCATAGGAAGCTTTTCTTTATTATAGTAATAAGAGTTGGGGAAAAAAAAAACACTCAAAAGACTGATGATTTTGTATGGTGTGAGCTAACTCCTGGGCCTTTCTGTGCATTGGTTGCTCTATGAGATGTAGGTATAATATTCCCACCCCTTCCCAACAAAAACTTGATGTTGGAGAAATAAATAGTACAGCAGATATAAAATCACTTTCAGCCCTTTGTTGGATGGGGGTGTTGGGGTAAGGGCAAGGCTTAGGCCCAGGAACTTAGGTTCAAGGATCTGGCAATTGAAAGAAAATGCAAGGCACATTAGGAATATTGGTCATCCTTTATTTGGAAGTGGCCATAGCCATTAGCCATCTCTACTTCTCCACCCAAACCATTTTCATAGGCTCTTTTTATATACAGTTCAAACAAAGAAGGCACACTGGCTTACATAGAGAGGGGAGCATGCTCACATGTTAATGTTTATGACCTCTTGTATATGTGCTGAATCAGAGTGCTTCTGGCTTTGACTAACCATAACATAGCTGGTTCCCAGCTTTGGCTACACACAAAGAAACATAACATAGTCCATCGGAAGTGTTGGTGAGGGACCCTGACTTCAGCCATTTGGGGCCTGATCCATTCCACCCACACGACTGACATATTCAACAAGAATAATAATAACAATAATGAGCACTGTATTTGCACAGTTTTTAACAGCTTATAAAAATGTTTGAATATATTATTTTATTGCCCCTTTTAACAAGATGTGAAATAGGTAGGACATTTTAAAATTTCATTGTACAGATGAAGAAACTGAGGCCAAGAGAAGTGGCTTGCCCAAAATCAAATAGTCAGCAGCAGGACATGAGTCCTAAGAGAAAGTCCAGTGTCATTTGAGAGTACCAAGCTATACATGTAGTCATTACTCATTTCCTTTTCATTTCTTTCCTTTCTCCAAGTGGGAAGTGCTTGGTAGGAGGCCTCTAATTAGCAATCAAAGCTTTCTGTTTCTCATTTTTAGTTCTAGTCTATCAACTGTCATAAAGACCTTTAATTTATCTTAAAATTCCCCTTCAGCCAGGATCCCTGAGCCTTTCCAGGTCTGTTGGACCCCTGAATCACCCAAGCCTGAGACCATTATTTTTTGCTATTACCACCCTCATAAGTGTTGCTCTTTCTCCTTATCACCACATCACATTGGAGCCACAGACAAGTCCCTGAAAATCTTTCTTTGTAAAACACACTGTCTTTATCAACAGTTTCCATTCATCTATGGTATTTTAACAGTGTTCTTTATTGTGGTATCAGTTGTTGAAAGGGTTACAGACATAAGTATTCTTAAGGTGATTTATTTCCAATAATAATCTGCTAAGCCTTTGAACTCAGGGAGAATGTGTGAATAGGCCAGGTAATTTCAAACAGCAAATACAGTACTTTTTCATTCTTATTGCTTAGTTCCTTTTGCCAATGTCATTATGGGTTGTTTTTTTTTTTTTCTTTCTCTACTTCTAAAGAATAAGCCAACGTGGAAAGTTGGTTGGGTTCCCACCCCACCCCCCGCCTTCCACTTTGACTTCTTACCATGTGTTCTCTTTGGGCCCGAAATCTCAGCACTTAGAATGAATGGCAGAGAGTTCATCACGCCTGTTGTGCACCCTTATATGGAATATGACCACCATATACTATGCTAAGCTTTAGGACCAAGGCCCCTCTTTCCTTTAGAAGTCAGTCAGAAGGGATCTGGAAGAAGAAGAATTGGAGGAATAGTTTCTAAATAAAGTTAATTCTAAGTGGTAGCTCACTAGGTACTAGCAGTCTTGCTTTGACCTCCAGAATCTGAAGAGTGTACCCCAAAATTGCCTGTACAAAGTATGACTTCAGCCCCAGAGAATAGAAAAAGTGAAAAGAAGAGAAGACAAATGTTATTCCATAGCAACCTTATGATGAACTCTCTGCCATTCATTCTAAGTGCTGAGATTTCCGGTCCAAAGAGAACACATGGTAAGAGGTCAAAGTGGAAGGGGGAAAAGAAAACCCAACCAACTTTCCATGTTGCCTTATTCTTTAGGAAGTTGATTTAAAAAAAAAAAAAAGCATAATGACATTGGTAAAAGAAACTGAGCAATAAGAATGAAAGAGAACGTGTATTTGCTGTGATTTTAGCCCTCAATCTAAAGGCTATAGATGAGCTTTAGACAGTGGAGCTGACAAACTTTATTCAACATACATATTCTGAGCACCTATTCTGTGCTCTACATTGAGAATTTAGTTGCATGATCTTATTATGCATGATCTCCTCAAAACAAATCAGATTTTTTTTTTACAGATAGAAAATTGAAGAGGAAAGGTAATTGATTTATGCCAAAGCCATACAGATACCACAGAGAAATGCCCTAATTTGAACACATCTTAGTGCCTTTGTGCTACAGATGCCACAGACTGCAGAATTTATAAACTTTGGAAATTTATTTCTCACAGTTGTAGGGGTCTGGGAAGTTCAAGATCAAGGTGCTAGCAGGTATGGGATCTGGCGAGGGCTGCTCTCTGCTTCCAGAATGGTTGTTGCTACATTCTCTGATGGGGAAGAATTGTGTGTCCTCACGTGACGGAAGGGGCAAATTTACTCCTTCAATTCCTTTTTATAAGGCACTAATCCATCATAAGGGTAAAACCCATATAGGCTAATCAACTCTTAAAAGCTCCACTTCTTAATAGTGTTGTACTGGGACATGAATTTTGGAGGGAATGCAAACATTTAAACCATACTAGATCCCAATACCCAAAACAGTACTTTGACTTCCATAGCATAATTTCTTTCCTTATGATTTTAAAGTCTGTGGGCTCAAGTGTCTACATACTTGTATGACCCTGAAAAAAAAAAAAAAACAACAGACAGATGTTAATGGGATGCAAATGTGTATTTGAGATGTCTTACCCAGTTAATGGGGTGCCATCACATTTCCTGCCTCACCAGCTCTAAAGACTATGCTGATGGACCCTGAGATGAGGTAAGAAGAGGGTAAAAATACAAGAGACCCACTGGATATTTGTCTATGTCCTCAAGGGTCATTGTTCCACCTACAGAATTATCCATATGGTTAAGAATTTGCATTAATATTCTGGCTTGTTTTTAATTTTTAGGGTCTCAAGATCAGGCTCAAGTCTTTCATGTTTTCATCAAACACGATCAGAGATCAGGGAAGATTAAACTACTCATTACTCATTGGAAGCCTCAGAACAAGGTACCTCCAAGAATTGATTGTCAAAATCCTATCCAAGCACACTTAGAAAACCTCTTCTTACCCATCCTGACATAATGGAAGCTTCCCTCAACCAGCCAGCATCTAATAAAACCAGTGCAAAGAGCAATAACTCTGCATTTTTCTACTTTGAGTCCTGTCAACCCCCTTATCTTGCCTTACTATTGTTACTCATAGTCTACACTGTGGTCTTAATCGTGGGCCTCTTTGGAAACCTCTCTCTTATCATCATCATTTTTAAGAAGCAGAGAGAAGCTCAGAACGTCACTAACATACTGATTGCCAATCTCTCCCTCTCTGACATCTTGGTGTGTATCATGTGCATCCCTTTCACAGTCGTCTACACTCTGATGGACCACTGGATATTTGGAAACACCATGTGCAAACTCACTTCCTATGTGCAGAGTGTCTCAATCTCTGTGTCCATTTTCTCACTTGTATTAATTGCTATCGAAAGATATCAGCTTATTGTCAACCCCCGTGGCTGGAAGCCCAGCATCTCTCATGCCTACTGGGCCATCAGCTTTATTTGGCTCATTTCCCTTCTGTTGTCTATTCCCTTGTTCCTGTCCTACCACCTCACTGATGAGCCCTTTCGCAACCTCTCTCTCCCCACGGACATTTACACCCACAGAGTGGCCTGTATAGAGAAGTGGCCCTCCAAAATAAACCAGCTCCTCTTTTCCACTTCCTTGTTTATGCTCCAGTATTTTGTTCCTCTGGGCTTCATCCTCATCTGCTACCTGAAGATTGTTATCTGCCTCCGCAAGAGAAACAGGAAAGTAGACTGGAAGAGGGAAAATGAGAGCCGGCTCAGTGAGAACAAGAGGATCAACACAATGCTGATCTCCATCGTGGTGACGTTTGGAGCCTGCTGGCTGCCCTTGAACATCTTCAATGTAATCTTTGACTGGTATCACGAGGTGCTGATGAGCTGCCAACATAACCTGGTATTTGTAGTTTGCCACTTGGTTGCTATGGTTTCTACATGCATAAACCCTCTCTTTTATGGCTTCCTCAACAAAAATTTCCAGAAGGACCTGGTGGTGTTAATTCACCACTGTTGGTGCTTTGCACCTCGGGAAAGATATGAAAATATTGCCATCTCCGCTATGCACACAGATGAATCTAAGGGATCTTTAAAACTGGCTCACCTACCAACAGGTATATAAAAACTGATGATGTTTTATAGCAAAGCTCTTCTTCGATGAAAGGGGAGGTTGTGGTGAGGAAAATGGCAGAGTGCAGAAAGAAACCAAAACCAAAAAATATAGCAACTTTATACTCAGTCTTGCTTCAGATTAGCCTGTCTGTCTCATAAGCCCCAAAGTACACTCTAACACACAGAGGCATAAATCAACCGTTTTGCCTTTTCTTAAAAGAAGAACTCTAATAATTCAACCCAGCCACCAGCATTTTTGGTGGAGAATAAAATGAGAAAGCAGACAGAAAGGCAAGCAGTGGAGATGGCTAGGAACAACACTCCCAGGGTCTGTTGTTCAGTGGATTACCCACAGAAATTATTACTAAGGCTGTGCCTAGTGAAAGCAATGCCATACCTCCTTAGTAGTGAGTCACTTCTACTTTCAGGTGGAAACTGTAACTTTCACTCAAGTAACTTCAATTTAATTAGACAAGTCATAATTTATTAATCAGGTAACTAATTAAGTTTACATTAAAGCTGAAGGGATTTTTTTTAAATTTCAAAATATTTATAGAAAAACAATTTACCACAACATTCCTATACCACAAATATACCATAGGATTCTAATAACCAATAAAAATATACAAAGCCTATCCTGAAAATATAATTGGAAGTATTTAATAGATAGGCCCATGAGGATAGAGCTGAGTAATTTAAAATGTTAGTCCTTGGTAACACAGACTATTTGGTAATTAACAAAGGGTGACTCTTGGCATCAGACTGCAATTAACTGGGAGGGGGACCAGCTTTATAACCTGCAGGCATGCCAATTTATTCTTTCCAGAATTTAAAAAGAGGGGGAAAAATTCAGGTTTCTAAATCACAAAGTTATCATCTTAGGGATCTGGGCCTGCTTCATCTCTTCAGGTATATCTCCCAATAAAGTCCCTCCTGAGAATTTAGATGCATTGGCTCATCCCTAACAAAACTGTAAATAGCAGTTTCAAACAAGGTTAAAGTTGGGAAGTTTTAAAAAAGTATTTAAAATGAAATAACCAATTAGTTTTCTGTACTTTATGTGAATTTAGGTTTATTTCCCCTCTCACCCAACATGCATGTTAAAAGAAAACCAAAATTCAACACACATTCACTTACCCACAGATTATCCAAGCTAATGCTAATTCTTGGAGTAACATCTCTAATGGCCAAGTCATGAACCCCTGAAAATAGGGGGGGAAACCCAGATTGAAGGGATAGTTTTAACATAACATTTGAACCATGTATTGTAATTGCAATTCATTCCCATGCCTGAATCAGATTCTCTAGTTTATGGCAACAGTACATTTTCTTTACTACAATGCCATACATGTTATTAGAACTGACCACAAATTCTTTAGCACTCCAATTATGCTAGAAATCACTTTAACTAACCTCTAATGGCCAATAGAGATAGAGCTTCCAATACAAAATGGCTTTATATCCTGAATTGGTTATGTATACTAAATAAGGGTCATTATGACTCTTTTATTAGGTCTAAGGGACTTCATCAGTAGCAACTTTATAATTATCCCCAGTTTTTTTAAAACCTTGCATATATCTTGTCACTTAAACATTTTTAAAAGATCCCTCATCCCAACAGAGTCACTTATACATGGGAATCAGATTGTTTTCAAAAACACATGGGAATAATAAGAATTCATACCCCATTTGAAACAATTGTATGATAGATGATATGTCAAGATCAATGTAATGTTTTGAGCAACTAATAAATTTCTGATGTTTAAAAAAAATAAAAATTTAAAAATTTAAAAAAGATGCTGAAAAAAAAGTTACTAAATTACTGTTTAAACAGCCATTTGCTCAGAGACTTTCATTAAATTCTCATGAGCTTTATCACTTCTTTGGATGAATCTCCCTTATACCTATAAAATTTGAAATGCAGCTTATTTATGTAAAAATGTATTTTCTTTTGAATTCAATATTCTCTGAATACCTGTGATTTTTTTTCTTCTGGTGAAAAATTTTCTCCCATTCTGTCTTCCTTTCTCCCTTTCTTCTGCTCTCCTTCTTTTGTCTTCCCCTCCATTCTTTCCCTCCCTCCCTCTTTCTTTTTCCCTCTGTCTAATTCTCTTCAGCTTTTTAATTTTCTTTCATTTTGGGATAAATGAACAACAAAAGCATTTCAATGAACTAAAACATAATAGTCTTACAGTACTGGTTGCAAATATTCTTAGCTAAATACCAAGTCCAAATGGTATCATCTTAGAATCCTAAAGTTCAGGACTGTTACCCCTAATCCAGGAAGCAGTCAGTCTCCCTGGATATCCTTTCCACGTCTTGTGATGGTGGTTAGTCCTATAACTAAGATCCAATGTGGCATTTGATTTGCTTGATAAAGAAATACTGATTCTGGTTTCCTCATCAAACCACTAAACACAGGAAAGAGCACTAGACCCTATTACTACTCTCTCCTGGCACCCACACTTATATGCCCAGTCTCTTCTAACACTGACTCCACCTGCAGCACTCACAATAAATCCCTGTATATGGTTAAATATGAATTCTGTCTGGCTCCATGACAAGAGCAATTTTCCTCTGTAAAGCTCTTTTGTTTTTCCTTTTAAACTTTGCTTGAGCTCCTGTGAAATGAGTCACTAGTGGTATAACTATCAATAATAGTCTTTTCTGTGTTTATTTATTTAAAAAAAAAAAGTGGTGAAGAAAATGGACTTTTAAAATGGTCGTCTCTACCCTCAAAGGGACTTACCTTATGATAAGCAGGAGAACACAGGTATGTAAGTAGCTCGTAAAAAAGGTATCATGGAAATATAAACCAAGAGGCCCCACAGAGATGAAACTCATATGAGAGTTCCAGGGAAAACAGCCTCGTTCCTCTGTTTTTATAGTATCTGTGGATGGTTCACATCAGCTTGGTGTACCACTGAGCCACCTAATAAATGACACAAGACTTCCTCTTCTCAGTTGCTTCACTGCAGTGCCAGATGGCCTATATTCCCCTTTTTAGGAATCTGGATGACATTTGCCATGTTGTCCTAGAAACAGACTTCTCTAGCTAGTACTCCAAAAATCTTCTGTCCTCTGACCTCTAATCATTTTGAGTTGGAGTGATTTCCCATATCTTTGGAATTTTCTGGCGGGGAAGGAGTGGGAAGACTATTACTAGGATCAAAAAAAAAAAAAAAAGACCCATGTAAAACACTCAGCGAATCAGTAAACTAACTAGTCTGCATGTTCCTATCCAGGGAACCAGAGATGAATGAGAAAATGCTAAAACATTCTTGCAATAAGTACCCTCGGTTTTCTTTCTGCCTGCCCCTAAAAGATCCCCAGCAGAATTACCCAATTTCCAAGATGGATAATCAACAACAAAAGTTATTCAAAATACAGATTATATAAATGTGGTTTAAATGTGCTCAGTATATGGGATATGTATATTCTGAAAAAGGTGGAAATAACTTGATGAATCAACCTGCAGAAGGATTCAGCAGTAAGAAGCTGCTAAGGTTCAACAGCATAGTTCAAAAGCCTAAGGAAAAGGCTTGTCTCTCTTCCTGCAAGCTTTGGTTTTTACAGAATAATAATAAATCAAGAAAAACATATTAAGCCTTTATAATGTACTTGGCACTGTGTGAGGTAAAGAAAAATTGTAAGGCACAGCTTTAAAGAATTTTCATTCTCACTGAAGCTTTTGCCAGAGGGGTAATTCAATGTCTCAGTTTTCGAAGGCTTTAATTTTTTTTAATTTACTTTTTCATATACAATCTAGTTGACAAATAAAAGTTATATACATATACAGTGTACAATATGCTTTGATAGGTCTATACATTGAAATTGGTAAATCAAGCTAATTAACATATCCATCATCTCACATACTTTTCATTTTTGTTATGAGAACATTTAAGATGTAGTCAGCAATTTTCAAGAATAATATGTTGTTATTAAACTACAGTCACTATGATGCACAGCAATTCTCCTGAATTTATTCCTCCTATCTAACTGAAATTTTGTATCCTTTTTTGGACATTTT